AAGGCGCTTCTGACAGCCAAGAAAGTGGCACTTCTAACAGCCAAGAATGTGGCGCGGCCAAGAAAGTGGAAAAATAAGAAAGCCAGTCACCAAGGTCTTGCTGCACTACGGAGGTCATCGAGACAAAAAAAAAGGGGTTGTATTTGTCCACGGTCTAGTGGAAGATTGATTTGCATTTTGCACATTTGCTGAGGAGTGGAGCAAGGGCCCAAGTAGGGGAAAGGAATGAAACTCGACCCAGAACATGGAAATATACATCGCGACTTTACTTTTACCTTTCTGCCAAGGCTCTGAGGCCCCCAGCCGTGGTCCAGAACTGAGCCTACTCAGCCTGGACCCGACCCCCTTGTGCAGGCAAAGTTGGTCTCGTTCACTCGAACATAACGCATATGCGTTGTAAACGAATACAACACACAGTATGCGTTGTATTATTCATTTACAAAGCATATGCCTTATGTTTGGGGGAAGACCGTATTAGGAGTAGTGGTGGGTAGGTACTGAAGGTGAATTGAAAAAATTTGAAAGATGATGAAAGATTTGAGAGAAGATTATAGCGTAGTTTAAAAAAAAAGGGATAATTTACAAAATACCCCCATAAGCTGAGATATATGCCAAAATGACCCTAAAAGAGGTGGGTAGAGCGGAATAGCCCTCTGAAAAAAAAAACTGTTTTGTGAAATACCCCTAGTGGCGGGTAGACCCCCATCTTTGCAATATACCCCTATCCGGTACGGTCCGGCTTTGCAAAATGCCCCAGTACTTGCCAACTTTTCCCAGGCGCCATTGCAAGAGGCCAAGGCCCAAACGGGGAGGTCCAGATTGCAAAGTAGGACACCTGCCTGACAGGGCACAGCACAGAGATTTCGGCCCAAAAGGGCATTCCGCTCTACCCACATCTTTCAGGGGCACTTTGGGATATATCTCAACTTAAGGGGGTGTTTTGCAAATTACCCCAAAAAAAGAAGAAGGAAAAAACAGAAGAAAAAAGAAAGAAAGAAAAAGATTGGGCGATGGCCGAGCACCCAGCCATTGTTTTGTTTTTGTTTTGCAAAATATCTTATTTTTTTCTTTTCTTTTCTTTTTTATGTCCCACTTCTCGAGGTTTGTTTCTGGTTTCGAGGTTACATGGCTCCTTGCCATCCGATGTGAAAATCTCACGGCCCTACTGGTAGTGTGACCACGTCGGAAAAATACAGGAAACATAAACTAAACCACCGCGAGTGGGACCCGGCGCCGGGGGCCGAGTCCCAGTAGCAGCGTTGGGTTTCCTCAACGCCTGAATCTGGACGTCCTTGAGGCGATGTGCGGTTGAGAAAACTCAACGCTATTTCTGCACTTCTCCACAGACACGTCCAGATTCGGGCGTTGAGGAAACTCAACGCTGCTAGTGGGACTTGGCCCGCCCAGTGTTTTTTTTTCACGTCGTCTTCGTCACACCAGTGGAAGTGTGAAGGATGTACCATGGAGTCGCAAGATGCAATCATGGCCCGGACGGAGACAGGGGCGCCTTGCGAAGGATGTACCATGGAGTCGCAAGATGGAATCATGGACGGGACGGAGACAGGGGCGCCTCCAGGCGTAATCTCAGCACGGCAGCAGTATTGATATCGACAATGCATAGGACCTGGAACCACGTTCAAATTCCTTCCTGGGTGCGGGTACTCGCACTCATGCTGCTGCTGATGGGGAATAGATGGAAATGGAGAAGAAGAGAGCGGTTAAGCCTCCAGCTCCCAAGACGGTGGCCATCCACGACAGGAAGAACTTGCCGAACAGCCACCAATCCACCGTCCGATAGTTATCGGCAGCGCCGACGCCGATCGTCGATCCGATGAGGATCTGTGTGGTTGAGACGGGAACCTTCTTCACCGAGCACATGGCCACGGTGAACGCTGCGCAAACTTGGCACGTGAAGCTTCTCGAGGGAGTCATCAAAGTCAGACCACCGATGTTCCTAGTCACCCGGTATCCCATCAAGGCGAAGCCGACGCACACCGCGATCCCGACGACGGTTCGCATTCCGTACTTGCCGGCCGTGGGGAGACTGTGGCAGGTGCCGTACTCGTAGATCAATGAGAATGGAGCTAGCTGATTGGCGAAGTCATTGGTGCCTTGTGCGAAGGCCAGAGCGCAAGCAGGCAAGATCTGGAGGGGATAGAATCCCGCCTCGACACGTGGACAGAACCTCTGGGCACGCTCCTGGCGATGCCTCGTAGCTTCGCTGAAAACCAGTTCCCTCCCGAAGGTGTGCATCTCTACTCGACAGTACAAATCGACGATGGCATCCCAAATTCTTCCCTCGTCTTCTCCTTCTTCTCTCGCTTCATGTCCACCTCGCATCCTCCTTTCTCCATCGAGCACGTTCGGACCGTCAGGAGCGAGATTGCCATCTGGAAGCCGGAGATCCGAGGCATCCGGGGGGGGTCGCACATCACCCTCCTGACCGTGAACGACAACAACATTCTCCTCGCGATGACCTCCGTCGTCCTCGATAGCTTCCACTATACCTCCTCCCCCTCCTTCTTGCTCTCTTCCCGACGACCTATCCCGAACGTTGCCAGCCGCTACTGCTGCTGACGGCACTCCAAGATCATCGGCGTCACGATGCCAGGTCGGTTCTTCTTCCACCATCACGCGTCTTCCTCCTCCTTCCCGCCCGCCAGTGAAGCTCTCGTGAAGCTCCAGCACCTCAGACTCTACCCTTCTCCAGAGGCTGCTGTCCTGCCCGCCAGTGAAGCTCTCGTGAAGCTCCAGCACCTCTGAGTCTACCCTTCTCCGGACGCTGCTGTCCCGCCCGCCAGTGAAGCTCTCGTGAAGCTCCAGCACCTCTGAGTCTACCCTTCTCCGGACGCTGCTGTCCAGCCCGCCAGTGAAGCTCTCGTGAAGCTCCAGCACCTCTGCGTCGACCCTTCTCCGGAGGCTGCTGTCGAACCTTTTCAGCCGTCGGCGAGCGTGAGGAATACCGAACTGGTAGGCAATTGCGTAGACAAACGCTGCTGTCGTCAGCGAGGCCAGGACAGGCACGAACAGTAATTCATGTTTGAATTTATCGAAGCTGAAGAAAACGATGAGCGTGATAGTCACCGCGGTGAGTGCCCACACCGCGGGCAAGAACCGGAGGACTCGTCTCTCTGAGTCCTGCCGCTGCAGGACAAACCACTTCAGGGCTGAGAAAGAAACCCCTGATAACAATGCAGCCGCTGGAGGGGTGACGATCCAAGACAAGAAGATGCCATAGATTGGGTTGATCCCCGTTTGGTTCATAGGGTGCCAATCAATCGCATCACGGGTATCCGGGAGCACGAAGGTGAGCACCACCATCGACGAGATGATCGTATGCGTTGAGGAAATAGGCCATCCAATCCACGTGACAAGAATCACCCAGACGGTCGAGGCTGCCAATGCACACGTCAGCCCCCACATCAGAAGGGCTTTTCCGCGCGAACCGGGAGACGATCCCTGCGGACACCAGTTGTTTGGACTCGGGGAGCTACCTAGAGCGTTCACGAATTCGACTCGATTAATCACGTCACTCGTAATTTTTTCCTCCACTTTCGGGCCCATGCTGTACGCACCTGCTAATTGGAAGACCCCTGCGATAACGACCGCTTGTTTAATTGTCAATGTTTCGGAGGCAATAGTGGTTGCAAAAGCGTTGGAAATCTCGTTTGCTCCCATCCCGAAGGCGAAGGAGACCACCAAAAACCCAGCAATTACCACGACCCAATCGTAATCAGAAGACATCTGCGACATCTCGTCCTCAC